TGGAGTGCCTCCCCTCTGCCAACTCCGAATACTTTCCCTCTCCAGAGGAATCGCTGCATAAAGAAGAATCTTACCCGTATCAAGGTCAGAACGTATATGTAAAGTTATTTTGTGTTCATTAATGTGTTGAATCGCTATAAAAAAAAAGTTAATAATACTTACATTTGAGAATTTACTATAAACATTTAAAAATTTTACTTACCTTGCAAATAAATTATTGCAGATTGTAAGGGTAAAATCTAAATTTTGGGGTGATTTTTTTTATTTTTTTTCTCGTCGAATTTTTTTTGGTTTTACTACGTTTCAAAAGACAAGCTTGTACTTTATACAAAACGTATCGGGATCAATTTGTTTCAATTTCCTTTTGTTGAATTTTTTTTTATTACCGAATATTTTCTACAGTTTTTTTTTATTTTCATTTTAAAGTTAATTTTAACGTCTCCCAAAACAGTGGGTTTCCCATTTATTTAAATTTGAGTTATAAGTTATAATACTTTAGTTTATATTTTCGAATCATCATTTTTTTTATTATTCAATTTCTTTCTACAATTCAATTTTTGTTTTTAATAAACCAAATTATTTTTTTTTTGTAATATCAGGTGTTTTATAGAAATTTTGTACATGTGATCCTTGTGTGCCTATTCCTATTCCTGAACATCTACATTTCGTAATTGATGGACATCGCTGTAATAAATTACGTGGCGCCAGATATAAATTAACGAACCTCCCCGTCTTCACTGTGCTAGTTGAGGTTCGGCGGTGTTTTCATTTTTTTGGGTTGGCACGGAATGGTTAAGGGAAAACCATCTTGGTCAAAAATTTTTTTGTTGATTCCGGTACGTAACGGCGTTATACTCTTTAAATTTACCCAAAAATAATATTTTTTCACATTTGCATACATTCTATTCACACCGGCATGACCTCCGGTCTGAAGCAAATGAAAGTCGTTTAAAATTAATTGTCGAGTTTGCTTGCAATTTATGCCTTTTGCATTAGAAATAATGTTAATTTTAAGATTATATTCTCGTATTCGATTGCAATCATTTGTTAAGCGC